ATATATATATATATATATATATATATATATATATATACACACACACATACATACATATTGTATGTGTGTGTGTATAATTACAGATTCTTCTACTTCTTAAAAAGCAGGTGGATAGAAGATAAATAGGTGATAGATCGGTAGGTAGGTAGATAATTATGTATAATTACATATTTATATACACAGCTTGCAAATAAGCCAATAAGAATACACTTTCCTCACTGTCTAATGCCACATGTTAACATATATAAAGTTGTTCCTAATTATACAATTTCATTCAAGAAAATTTATGACTCCGCATTCCAAAAAATATCTGTGAACTGCAATGCTTTCCATTGTTTTCTGAACTAATTGGGACTTGTTAAACATAAATTAGTAGGGTTATTTTGTCAGTATTATTTTTTGTCCAAAATGCTCCCTCCCCCCCCCAAAAAAAATAGAAAGGTACGAAAAGGTGGCAAGTCTTTTTAATTGGTTTCTGTGACTTTGGAACACAACTGTGTAACAGCTAATTACAAGGTATGGCTACCATTGATTTATTCAGCACCATCCATTTTAAAGACTTAATTAAGCAAAACAAAATAGAAAAAAGATATGACACTGTTTCTAAAGGTGTGCCTAGCCCTGGAGATTATATATGCCACTTTGTGACTCATTAGGCTGGAAAGGTTTCGAAGTTTTATAATAATTTTAATCTTCATTTCAGAAGGGTTGCAATCATAAATATATGAATGAATTATATATGTTGTGTGGGGCTTGTACCAACTGTATCTTATTAGTCAATACTTTCATTTATATTGAAAAAAGTTATTACAGACAGTTGAACTAATTATTTTATTCAATTTGTGCCTGGTAAACATGACATTTCCTGGTTATATTATCAACATTTATAGTGAGCAAAATGAGGTGATACTGATATAAATGTTAACATCGGATATTCCCCATGTTAGAATTTTTAAAATCCTCGTCTTTTAAAATCACCTTTTATATTCCACTATTATTCTTGAATGCTAGTTTGGAGGTATATGAATACGTTAATTCTTTGACGACTTATTTCCATGTTAAGACCAATGTTGTATTTTTCAACATCATCTGTGCCCACTTCACTGGAAGGAGCAATAATTTTATAATAGTAAAATTGGTAATATACCACAATAAATAATTAAACATTTTGAAATATCTATACTAATTTTAAAAAGTTTACTAACCAAATCTGGTTTTTAAATAGTATAAGGAAAATGTTTTTATATGATCTTAATCTTTACTTGTTGAAGGCATAAGCATACTTACCTGAACTCAAAGGGACTTGCTTTGTGGTAATCATGTATTACAAAGATACTAATAACATTCAGCAGACTTTCTGCAGGACAGAATTCACTGCTGATGCAAAAGCTAACCATTTGGATTGTCTTGGAAATCAACTAACTTCCCCCAAATTAGTTATTTCTGAAATTATTTCAATTTTCTTTGGAAATAATTTTTCTACTGTCCCATCTATTCAACTAATAATGTATGCAAAGAAGAGTGGGGGGAGATGTAGTTGCAAAAATAAAGCAGTTCGGCTGCAAAAATCTGAACTGCCATAGTTTTCTAAATATCTTTGATTCATTTGGATTTTTGAAGCCCAACTGAATGGATACAAATGAATGAAGGAAACATTTTATTCCACCCTACATTAGCATTAAATCTAATTGATAAATGGGTGATGTTTGCTTTATGTGTTGAGAAAGGTATTATTAGCCCCTAAAACCTATAGTCAGAAATAGAAGTCACAATGAATAACCTTGTTTTGAATGTTAATAGGATGCTTCTACAATATGAGCAAGTAATCAAATAGATTGGTTTAATAATAATTAAATAGCAGCCCATTTAATTATTCATTGATACTGTAGAAACATCCTATTTTCTAACCCTAGGAAAAAAGGAGTAGCTGATAATAATAGTATTTCTCAAAGTTGTACAAAATAATTGTTTTTCATAATAAGAATTTCACAATTTTTATAGGTTGCTTGCTTAAGAATTGCATTTGCTAGTCTTTGGAGTGGTACACAGAGAAAATATTATTTTCCATTTCCCAAGTAGCTTGTTCTATAATGTTTATGAAACATTTTTCCTATAGGTTTATGAAATACTGAAAAGAACTACATGCACCAAAGCCAAGTATAGTATGGGTAAGAAAATTTATTTACATTTCAAATTAGTCTGTATCTTAGCTTTTGTTTATAATCTAAGAGATTGTAAATTTTTACACCTTTCCATAAGAAGCTGAATACAATAAATAGTAGATTACCTGCTTAAAGACATTTTGTGAAATGATTTTAGCTCATTACATATGTACAAGATTTTGGTAAATAGAACAATTTCTTATATATATAATCATTGCTTACAGATATCTGCTAATATAATTTTATTTATAAGAGCCATTGCTCAAGACTGTTGGACTTGGTTCTGTCATTGAAATATTATATATTGTATTCCTTTCCATGTTTACTTAGAAGCAATTGTCATTTGTTTTCCCTATAAAGTATGGGAAAAGCTTCTAGATCTAACTATAAAAATCTACCTGATGGAAGCAAAGATGCACTTATTCTAATATAGTGGCTTTTTGGATTTTTGCAACCCAGATTTGGGGACTGTTATTTAATTTCAGTGTGTGACTTTTCTTTTTAAATTTCAGTATTACATTATTTTAATTTGCACTATGTAAACAACCTCTTTATCTGTGAAGAATTTAATTTAAAAAGGGAAACTGAATTAATGCTATTTGTCTATAAATGCATGTATTGACCAAAAAAAACAGTGATTCACTGGTTTTTTGGAAACAAAAGGCAAATCAAGTTGATTGTATCAATTCTGGTGTAAAGCAAGTCATGCTGTCAACTGCTGCTTGTGTATTTGGATATAAATGGACTGATGTTTAAAATATATTGTGGAACAGTTTATTGTTTATCATAAAAAGAACAACTATAATTTTAAAAAAATCTTTTAAACTAAGGGGATAATGAATTAACAAAGAAAAATCTTCAATCTGATGTCACACATGTTGAATTTTAATCATATTTGCATCTCGCATTCTAAACAGTTCATTAATTATTTGGCCCCATTAAACATTTTTTTAAAATCAATATATTGTTATGAAAACGAAGACTATGCAACACTTCAGATGCAAAGCAGGAGGCTTTTAAGAACTTGTNTATAAAAAAGTTGACTACCCCTGGTTTAGCATATGGATCTACATGCAATCACTAATATACAAATGTAGTTTAAATAAAACATTTGAATATACATACATACATACATACATACATACATACATACAAACATACATACATACATACATACATACATACAATATAGATAGTATATTAAATTAAGATAAAATCATAATATAATCATTGATTTTGCTTGTTGGAAGTAAGCAAGAAGTAGCAAGTTGAAGTTGCATTATGTTCTTACTTAATGAGCCATGATTTTTACTTAACGATGGCAATGGTAACTGCTAGGATTGCCAGTGCTGAGCAATGTAATCATGTGAACTTGGCTTTACAAGTGCATTGCTTAGCAATGGAATTGCTAAGTCCCAATTACCATTGTTATTAAGTAACCTGAAGTTTATTCCAAGTAGAAATACAAAGAAAGGCTCAAGGGTGAGATTTTGATCACTACTACCAGTGGTGGGTTTCTAACCGGTTCCCTACTGGTTTGCTGAGAGGGCGTTTTGCTCGCGCATGCGCAGAAACATGCCGGCAACGGCAAATAGACCGGGGAACCAGTTTGGGGGCGTGGCAGGCCTGGGTCGCTCCCGATTCCAGCAACCCAGGCCGTTATACCACTACTGGTTCGGCCAAACTTGTCTGAACCAGTAGGAACCCACCACTGACTATTACCAATATCAAATTGAATGGCAAATCATTGCTGATCATGTGAGTCTAGTACAAGGGATAGATATTAAAATCTCTGGTTTCATGTGGCTGTCTTGGGTCACAGAGGCACTCAAGATATTGTGTGGGATTTGAAGGGCTGCTCTTAAGAATTTTGATTAAACTTCAGTGGGTCAAATTAGAAAGGAATTCAATTGTAGAGAAACCCTGTAAATGACAGTTTTCAGACAATTTAAGAGGTACAGATATGTATTTCTACCTCTTGACTTAAGATATTTATGGATGACACATGAGTTCCTGTATGCACTGTAAGCCATACAAGTAGTCCTCAAGTTACAATCACAATTGAGCTCAAAATTTATGTTGCTAAGTGAGTTTGCTCCATTTTATGACTTTTCTTGCCATTGTTGTTAAGTGAATCATTGCATTTGTTAAATTAGTAACATGGTTGTTAAGTGAATCTAGATTCTCCATTGACTTTGTTTGTCAGAAGGTCACAAAAGCTGATCTTATGACCTCGGGACACTGCAACCTTCATAAATATGAACCAGTTGCCAAGCATCTGAATGTTGATCATGTGACTATGGGAATGCTGCAAAGGTTAAAAAAAATCATAAGTCACTTTTTGCAGTGCCGTTGTAACTTTGAATGGTCATTAAATGAACTGTTATAAATCGAGGGCTACCTGTATAATCTCCATGAATTACCTATTGCTGGTAAAGTGAAAAGGTATCTCAAAATAGTTGACGTATGACACTGCCTTAGTCTTGTGGTCATCTGCATTCTGTTAATGGGTCTTGGGGTCAGGAAGATGCCATAATTTTGGTTTTCTGATACTTAAGTTCGAGCAGGTCTTCCTTGTAGTCCTGTGCCAGAGCCCGCAATGCTCTTTGAAAGCCAATAGGTATCCTTGAGTAGTATTGCTGTGTCATCTCCATTTAGCAGAGCAGAAATTTATCCCCGAAAGTTTTAGGGTTTGAAAGCAATAGCAATAGCAATAGCAATAGCAGTAGACTTATATACCGCTTCATAGGCCTTTCAGGCCTCTCTAAGCGGTTTACAGAGAGTCAGCATATTG